TGACGTGAGCTGCTAGAAGATTCTCTCAAGATGGTTGTGAACTGATTATTTTCTCCTTTTCAATAAAAGTAGAACACTAATTCACTGTTAGGAAAGACCATCTTTAAGAAATCAGCTGACAGTCTTATGGGAACTCCTTTGTAGGTAATTGTCTCCTTTTCTCTTGCTGCTTTACAGATTCTTTCCTTATCTTTAATCTTGGGTAATTTAATTAGGATGTGCTTTGGTGCGTGCCTCCTTGGGTCCAACTTCTTTAGAACTCTCTGGGCTTCCCTCACTTCTGGAAGTCTAGTTCCTTTACCAGATTAGGGACACTCTCCTTCACTATGTTTTCAACTAAATTTTCAATTTCTTGCTCTTCCTCTTCTCCTTCTGGTACCCTTATGATTTGGATGTTTGAATGTTTAAAGTTGTCCTGCAGGTTCCTAAGCTTCTCCTCACTTTTTTGAATCTTTTTTCTTTATTCTGTTCTGGTTGCATTTTTATTTCTTCCTTCTGCTCCAAGCCATTGATTTGAGTTCAGGTTTCCTTCCCATCACTGTTGATTCTCTGTACATTTTCCTTCATTTCACTTTTTATAACCTTTGCTTTTTCTTCTATTTTGTGACCATACTCAACCAATTCTGTGAGCATCCTAAATACCAGTGTTTTGAACTTTCCATCTGATAAGTTGGCTATCTCTTCATCACTTCATTGTATTTTTTCTGGAGCTTTGATCTGTTCTTTCATTTGGGCCATTTTTTTGTCTTGGTGTGCCTGTTATGTAGTAAGAGGTGGACCCTTAGGTATCATCAGGGCGGGGCAATTCACAATGCTGCATTTTGGTGCTACATGTGGGAGAGGGCTCCAAGAGAGAACAATGCCACTTGTTCAATTTTTTGTCACTTTCGGTCACTTCAGTGAGCTTTCAGTCACTTCCTCTCCTACCCGCAAGCAAATTGGGTTCTTCTGGTGCTGTTTCCTGGGGGCGGTGGTTTTGTGTACTTTCTAGAGTCTTGTGGGTCTCTCCAAGGAACTCTCCTGTGAGGCTGGGAGTTTCTCCCATCACCTTAACCCCCATACATTTTTTCAGTCAGAGGTTTTGAGGCTTTTTTCCCCACCCTGGAATCCTGGGTTGCACGGTCTGTCTTGCTCCCCAGTTGTTACTCCTGGTTTATCTTTATGCAAATGTGAAACCACTAGCTGCTGCCTTTCCCACCCTGGTCCTCCAGCCACTGCCTTGCTGAGAATCTTCTCTGCCCATCAGCCTGTCTCTGCCCCTCCTACCTGTTAGGAACTGTCCTGCCTGACTTCAGAAGCTGTAATCCCCCTTGGCTAAGTCTGAGTGAGAGACCTTGGGACCATAAGCCACTAAGGAGACAAAGCTTATCTCCCTGACAGGGGTGCTGCCTCTGTCTTTTTACTTCACCCTGCTTGGCCCCAGGTAGATGACTGGTTAGCCAATGACGGGTAAGATTCCTCAAGGGAGGGATGACCTAAGATAGGCATGGTCTTGAAGGGGCCCCTATGGAAGGACTTGGGGGGCTATGGCAAAAGGGGGTGATGGACCCTTGCCCCTCAGCTTTGACATAGCCTGACTCCTCATTCTGTCTGCGAGAAGTCTTGTAATCTCTTGGCTGCCTTTCTTCCCCTACCTGACTTAAGCCTGAAACAATGACAGAGGGTGGTGCAGCCCTGTGCTGGAAAGGGGGGCATTCTCTAGGTAATTAGGCCTGAGCAAGAATATGTAAAATTGTATAAAACCTGCCTTGTTAAGAATGCTCTCAATTAAATAATAAGGGTCCGAGCAGGAAATGAATTTGTTTCCCAAAGTTTTGTAGCCCTTTAGCTAACAGACCCTGACTCAGAATAAGCCCTCATGGTTCTTTGTTCTATGTTAACTATTGCTTGATCCTTATTGCCTGAGAATGATTAATAAGCTTTACCTGTATTCCTGTGCAAAATTAACCCAATAGAAGCTCATTGAGGAAAAGGGTCTTTGTCCTTCTCCTTTGAGAGATCAGCCACCTTTCCTCCCCAAGCAGATCATGTCTTGGTAGACTTATTCTCATCTGTGGCCACCAGGGGGCCCTATGGGTGGAACCCCCCCCCCCCCCCGCCACACACACACCTACTGGTCTGGATGACTATCTTCTTTAACTGTTTGATTGTCATACTTTTATACAGTTTGATTTTCTATCAGTTCTGGTTTTTTTTTTGTTTTTAAATTTGTTGTTCTTCTTTCGGTTGTGTGAGGAGGCGCAGTGTGTCTATCTACACCTCCATCTTGACTAGAAGTCCAAGACAGACCATCTTTGGAAGAGTTATTGAATCACACTGAACACCACCAAATGAATTTCGTACAAGGTTGTATAAAAGACAGCTAAAAGCCTCTTCCCTAAGGGAGATTATAACCTACTGGGGAATAAAACACAGACATCACATTCTGCATTGTAATTCACAAACGAGGTAAAAACAAAGTGTCCCAAGATTCTGAGAGGAAAGATATTGAGGATCCAACCACAACAAGTATAATTGATGGGGTTCTGGACAATTACAGGGTCTGGAGCAGCTGAAGCTCAACTTTAGTGACTTGCCTACTTGTTGGAACCTGCCATTTCCAAAAAGGGAAACTTCTTGTCACTGCTTTCAGCTAGCGATAAAATGGAACCATTTTCAGAGGCAAGTTTTCTATTCCCAGTAGCCTTCCTATTCCTATTTCCTATTCCTGGGCAGTCTTTTACTGCCTGCACCCAAGGACGAAAGGGAGAGGGTTCCTCCAAGATGGCCTCCAGGGACCAGAGCCTCACCTCCGTGTCTTGCCCTGGCTAACCCCTTCTGGGGCCCACTGAGCACATCCCAGATGAATCCTAAGAGATTTTTGAGAAGGACCATGTGACTGATTAAGAAACATCTATCTTCCTCAAGCTTCACCTGATTTTACATGGTTGGTACTTCACTCCTTTAGCTGACTCTCTCAGTTCTTTTAAAATACAAATACTCCCAAAGGGAGATAAAACGTTAAATGAATTCACACTAAGAAAACTCCCTGGGCTTATCAGATCTGCTTTTCTCTCATGACTGGCTTAGGAGCTGAACATTTCTGGTTGCCACAATAAACAACTTCCCAGCTGCCCTTGAGGTTGACGCAAACCCCTTGTCTGGGGCATCAGTATGCTCTCCTTAATAACTACAGTGTATTTTCTGGGTGTTTTCTTAGCTTACAGCCATGCCAGATGTTAAAGTTGACCGGCAGTCTTACAGCTTTTCTCCTGTCGTCTGGTCCATGATAACACGCAGCAGACCCAGAGGACAGAGGGTCCAGAGATCCCTGCAAAAACCGGAGAAGAGTTTCTTTGCATTAGTAATTTTATAACCTGTTCTTTGTCCCCTGTTTCTGTAGTAAATAATTCACCATTTTAATAAGAGAGATAAGGCCAGGCCCTTGTGAGCCAGGAAAGAGTTGAGAAATGACGAAAGCTATGCGTTTTATCCATGACCCAAGGACTTCTGGCAAGCTGCCCTCCCTGAGCTTGGATCCTCCTTTTCTTTCTTCTTTTTCCTGGACACAGAAATGCTTTTTTTTTCCCAAAAAGGCTCACTTTTACTTTTAAGATTTTTTAGAGTAGTTTTAGGTTCACAGCAACAGTGAGAGGTAGGTACAGAGGTCACCCATATATTCCCTACCCCCACATATACGTAGCTTCCCCATATCAGCCTCCTCCACCCGAGTGGTACAGCTGTTCCAAGTGACGAACCCACACTAACACATAGTAATTATCCAAAGTCTACAGCTTACATTAGCATTCACCCTTGGTGGTGTACATTCAACGGGCTTATGTAAATGTATGATGACAGGAATCTACCATTATAGTATCATACAAGAATATTTTCACTGCCCTAAAAATCCTCTCTGCTCCCAGAAAGGGCTACTTTTAATCTAGGAAATATGAGTTTCCTGGGGTGAGTTTCCCACCCGTTGTGGCTGTGCTAATGGCCTTCTGGGCATAGTTTTCAGGGTCCCAGGGATGCCACCAGCCCCAGCACACAGCCCCCGGGGCACAACAAGAGGCTGTTTCCACTGGGACCCAAATCCAGTACATCACTTATTCTGGGTTCTCTCTTTCCGAGGCCCAAGCCAACCTCCCAGCCAGTGGGATTTATAATCCAAAGCCACCCAGCCCCGGCAGAAGCACCTATGGACAGTCAGAGACTTGACTGAAAAAGAGGAGGCCCATGACCATGGGTCTCAGTCTTCACCAAGACAGTGAGCTGTGTGAGCCATCTAATTCTCTGCATTTGGTTGGGAAGGGCAAGCAAGTAACCACTTGAGAAATGTTGGGCCCCTGGGAAATCCCAGACTCAAATCCTCTGCACCCCCTGGGAAGGGCAAATTGAATGGAAAAGAAGAAACCAATTTAAATAAAAAAACAGATAATGATGCTTAAGTAAGATAAAAGCAAGAAAAGTCTTGCTTTTCTTATCTAGAGGGCTGGATTAAATATATACTTGTATAATTCAAACTAAAAGCAATTTAAATCAGGAAATAAGTGATTTCAGGAAGTTCAAATTTCCACATGAAGAGTGTTGTGATAGTTTATTGGAAATCCCTAATTCTCTTTCCCACCTGGCCCATCAGTCTCCCTCTCCCGTTGTGGCCAATGACCCTGCTTTACTGTCGTCTGAAGCATGCATCCAGTCCCCTCTCACACCGGTCACAGTGCATGCTTTGCAGCACAGCAGGTAGGAGCAATGTATCCAAAGAAGCCCACCACTTTCACCTGTTCTTTTCCCCCAGAAGGCAAAAAAGCCATCAGCAGGGGCTGCTGGGGAACTTGCAGGACTAGGCTAAGAGTAAGGAGCTGCTGGCTCTCAGAGGAGGAGAGAACTCCTAAGAGCTCCCCACATGGTCCATTTTCCCTGCTCCTGGTCAGCCAGCTGTCCTGAGGTGGAGCCACAGGTCACGCTCTTGTGATCTGAGCTCAGTCCCCTAAGCTCATCTCACACTCTTTCCTAATTGCTCTGTGCTGGTGGTCTCTCTCTTATAAACCCATGGGCCCTCCCTCATAGGCACCATCAGAATCCAGTACTTTGGCAGGTAACACTAGCCAGGAAGGTGGCTTAGACGAAGGGAAAATATGTTAGGACAGCTAAGTTTAAAATAACTATGCCCCAATGACTAAAGTTCAGAGACCATCGGAAAGACGAAATTTGCTCAGAATTAGTTACACAAAGTAGAGACTAGCAACATTTCTACCCATGTCCTGAGTTTTACAGTGAAGACAGCAGAGAGAAAACAGTAGGGACACGTAATGAGAGTTAATACGGTAAGCTGTTCATTTGCTGGTTGGAGTGCTGGACTTGGAACTTAGGAGTGTCCGTTGGGAGTCACTTAGAACCACATCTGACCTGGACTGAAATGTAAGTAAGAGACAAGACTGGCTCATATCCTGGGGAATAAGAACCTATGACGAGGACAGAGAACAGGAAGCACTGCCTGGACTTCAACAGGACCTGCAGGCTCTCCTGGCAAGGGAAGGGTTCACCTGCAAAAAGCAAACAACTAGGCTAATGGGGGTCTTGATGTTCCGAATGACCCTTTGTTCCTGATTATTCAAAGTGGACTCCGAAGGAGAAGTCACAGCAAAGAAGTTACCACCAAGCAGGTAGGTTTTTTCCTTCTTTCTCTTTTGCTAGGGACAGACTGCCCTCACCCCAGCTCCATGCAAAAAAAAGTGTGGGAACACAAATGTAATTTATGTTTGAGATCTACATCATAGTGGGTTGTGTAACATGTCGGCCTTGTTGCCCTCCACGTTTCTGGGATACAAGAGACCACGAAGACAGTCGCTTAGTGCTGGGTCCCACTAAGGACACCCCCCGACCCTTCCCTTCCTAGAGAAGCAGTCATAGTGGAAACCTCAGTCCTCCTGAGCCCGAGGCATACACACGATCAGCCCCTCTCTGCCGGAGACTTGGAGTCCGAAATAGCCTAAGCAAGGCCCTGGAGGCCATTACTTATTTAATGAGCCAGTTAATAAAACCATTTGCCAAAAATATTTATTTAAAGCATTTTAGTTACATAGCAACTAACAGTATAATAATGTACAATAAAAATAAGTAGTAAAGTACTATTAAAATACAAGTAATAACTAAAATGTTTTAGTTCTATAATAAACAGTCTAAATCAGGAGTTACAAACTATGACTCACAAGCCAAATCTGGCCCGCCAGCTTTTTTTATAAATAAAGTTTTATTGGAACACAGTCATGCTCATTCATTAGGTATTATTTATAGCTGCTTTTAAATCTCCACAACAGCAGAATTGAGTAGGTGCAAAAGAGACAGTGTAGGAACAAAACATAAAAGTTTAATTATCTGGCCCTTTATAGAAAAAATTGCCAGCTCCTAGTCTCAAGCTATTACCTTGTTTCTCAGTTATTATGGAATAAATACAATAGACAACCACAAAACTGATTAAACTATTGTTATTAGGTGATAGCTTTTTTAAATTCTAAGTTACCACATGCTCCTTATAAAAATGAAAAAGCAGTACAGAGAAAGCTAAATTCTCCTTTACCCATCCTGCCATCACTAATACCCTCTTCCCCCAAAAGTAATTCCTGTAGCCAGTTTGGTGTATTTATTGGCAGATGGTTTCCTTTGCATATGTGTGTGTGTGTGTGTGTAATAATAAATCAGCTGTTGTTATATTCTCATTTTCCACTCAACACACTTTCTGTATCCATATTCTGTATGGATACTTTCCAGATCTATGCACAGCTCTACCTCCATTTTAACTCAATGCTTTTATTTAGCCTTTTCCTTTTTGATAGATGCTTACGTTGTTTCCTATATTCCCTTTTTACCAAAATGCTACAATGACCCTCACGTACATGCCTCCTTCTGCCCATGTGCAAGTGAGAAGCTGAATTGCTATGTCCTGAGATATGTACATTTTAATTTTTGATACTGTCCAATCACCTTCCCTGGTGAGTGTAGCAATTTATATGCCAACTGTTAGAGAATAATGGTGCTTCTTCCCACCCTGATGCTTGCTATTTATTAAATATTTTATTACTTTCCCCACTGGATGAGGGAAAGCAGTAACCCTTTTATAAGTACTTAAATTCCTCTGATTACCAAGGTATTCGTTTTCCAGGGTTGCCATAATAAAATACCACTGACTGGGTAGACTAAATAACAGAAATTTGTTTTCTCGTGGTCCTGGTGACTTGCTGACTTGCTTTCTCCTGAGGCTCCCTTCTCACCTTGCAGGTGGCTGCCTTCTAGCCATGTCCTCACATGGCCTTTCTTCTGTGTGAGTGCATCCCTGGGGTCTCCCTTTGTGATCAAATTTCCTTGTCTGACAAGGACACCAGTCATATTGGATTAGACTCCTTTCTAATGACCTCATTTGGACTTAATTGCCTCTTTAAAAGCCCTATATCCAAATAGAGTCACATTCTGAGGTGTACTGGGGATGCAAGTCAACCCATAACAACCAATGAAGTTGGGCGTCTTTTTGCACAATTCTTGGCCATCAGACTATCTCTTCTTATTTGCTCACTCATATCCTTAGCTCATTTTATATTGGGTTATCTCTTTCTATTCACTTGTAGGAGTTTCATATTTATTCGTAACAGTGATTCTTTGATATACATATAATAAATACTCTAAGCCTATAATTTGTTTTTTAATTTCGTTAATGTGTTTTTAGTCTACAGAAGTGTTTACTATTATTGTTATGCTGTTATTGTTTTGATGTAGTTGAAGTTATTAATTTTCTCCTTTTTTGATTTTGCTCTTTGTGCTTATTTAAGAAAGCTTTCTGGCCCTGGCTGGTGTGGCTCAGGGGATTGAGTGCCAACATGGGTACCAAAATGTTGCCAGTTCAATTCCCAGTCAGGGCAGGTGCCTGGGTTCTTGGCCAGGTCCCCAGCTGGGGACTTGCGACAGGCAGCTGATCATTGTTTCTCTCCCTCTTTGCCCATCCTTTCCCTCTCTCTAAACTTAAATAAATGAAATCTTTTGAAAAAAAAAAGAGAAAGCATTCTCAACTTCCAAACTTCTGACAATATTTTGGCATACCCCTTCTAATACTTTTATCATAAAAAATAGGTCTTTAGCCTACCTGGACTTTTTTTTATGAATTGTTCTAATAGTGTTTATTGAAAAGTCTGTCTTCTTCCTTTCTATTTGAAATATCATCTTTATCATGTATTTCAGTTGGATATTCTCACTTCTCCTTGTCTGTTGCTAGATACTTGGTTCTTTTGTATTGATTTTCGATTCCTGAGCCAATTTTCATCATAGCTTTACTGTTTTTCATTGTTTTTGATGGATATATGGAAATCTACTTTTGGTTTGATATTTTGACTGGTCACCTTACAGACTTCTCTTAATAGTTATAAGAGTTTATCAGTTGATTCCTTTGGAATTTCTTGGTAGACAACCATATAATATATGTAAAATAACAGTTTTTCCTTTCATTTGAATCTTTACACTGCCTAATATAAGTATATATATATATATATATGCATGTATATGTATATATACACACGCATATATATACACACATATATACATACATATATATATATTTGGTAGTATCGCTTTTTCTTGACCTTCCAACATAATGCTGAGTAAATAGCCATGAGAAAGAATTGCCTCAGGGTTGGTGCACACCTGTGTGGGCTGTGCACTGCCCAGTTCTAGGGGGACCATTCACACTTAGAAGTCTCAGGTATTCTTGTCATGTTCCTTATTTTAATTCATTTTTATTACATGCTGTGAGGTCATATTTCTTGGTGACTTCTTTGCAGAGTTCTTCGAGGCTGGGGCTGTGCCCTGGTCACAACCTGGGAAGGACATAGGAATGCGTATGGGCCTCTTCTTGTACACAGGGGCCTTCTAGGTGTTGTGATTTAAAAGGAAATGCACCCAGTACCTGCTCATCCATCTGGCACACCTCCCAAATTCTGTAAAACATTGAAATAACACACTGAATATCCTACTGAAAATTAAAATGAAGATACATATTTAAATCCCTTATGTAACGTATGAAACAATTCTCCTGCCTCTCTATGAATTCCAAACAGAGTCAAAGTACAAAACCAGAGGTGAGAGCACTACGCATGCATGCAAGAGACAGGCAGATAACTCAGAGGTTGCTGCGCCCTGTTAAATGTTGGAAGAGGGTACCAGGTACACTTTTGACTTGGGCTGACCCCAGCTCTCAGCCCTGATCCTTGTGTAGCGATGAACTTTCCGACCTCTTGAATCTGATGACTGCGTCCAGGAAACACAAAAGCTGACTTTCATTTTTGGCTGCCTGAAGATTACAGCTGGCCTCTCGCATTTGAATTCATACTATTTGATTTCTGCTCTCTCAGTTCCCTCCGGGTGCCTTTCCCATGCCAGGAGCAAGAAGGGGAAGACTTCTCTGTTCACAATATTTGATCCATTTCCAAATTCTTTTAAAATATATGACTCATTTTATGCTTGTGGGTTTTGTGACAAAAATTTAATTTAGAACTGGAATAAAGGGAAGAGAAAAGAGGTTCTATCACTTACTGCCTTCCTGACCTTGGACACACTTCAGAGCCCCCATTTCCTCATTTCGGTAAAACAGGACCTGCCCCGCCCTGCATGGCTGGGGTGAGGCCTGGTCCGTGGACCTCAGAGGCACCTCCCAAGGAGATGATGATTTCGAAATCATTTTGTAAACATCGAAACCTGTGTAATGTGAGTTAATAAATTAACCAAGCTTCTCCCTTCATGGAACAAAGCCAACAGTTTTATAAGCTTCACTGTTGACTCTAGAAATGCAATCAATTCTTATATAATTTCCCTTTACTCACTTTGTTTCCTCTTTATCCTCTGATATACATATTTAGTATATGCTACATGTATAGATATATGCAGATTATAAAACACACACATTATATGTACTCATAAGACATACATATAAAACATATGTGTGTATATATTATCATCCTGCTATTTCCAATAGTTTCTATCATTAAAATCATGATTTTTGTACCATTTTCCCCCTTTTACTTAGATTCTGTGGTTTCCATTTTAAATTGCACACTCTTTCCTACCCATAACCTCGGTAACCTGGGTCCAAAGATTTTGATTTGACTTATTCGAAGATTAAATGTAACCTGCATCTCCTCCGCACACCCTTTTCCCAGGAAGGGGCTGTCTCTCTTGCCACCAAACGTACACTGACTTTAAACAATGATTTGCGACGCCAGCCATTTCTCATGCCTGAAAGTTCTCTTTCTCTGTTTTCTGGATCCTCAAGATGTTTTTATTGCCATATCCTCTGCCCACCATTTGGTCATCTTCTTCCTCATGTTCTTTTCTGTGCATGGACAACCTTCTGTCTGGTTAGTTGGAGTTCTACATCCTTGCTACTCCAAGTGGGCACTGCAGACCACGGCATCAGAACCTGCTAGGAAGGCAGGGGGGCCCAGCCCCAGCCCAGACTTCAAAGTGCGCAGTCAAGTTGCAAGATCCCATCTTGGCTGTAAGCAGCTCTGGGGACCTGGAGCAGACACAGGAGAGAAGGCAGGCAACAGTCAGTGACTGCCCTGGACCCAGGACTCACAGAGATTCCAATGTGGCTCAAAGACAAAGGTCATTTGGGATCAAATGC